TATATATATATATAACATTTAACACACTTGCCCAAGGAAACTCAAGTATTCCGATTTATACTCAGAGCCAGGCGTTTGTCAGCTAGCTCACTTCTAATAGCGCCCAGGAGGCACTGATGACAACTGCACTTGAGCAGCCACTCCCGACAGCCCCACCAGGACATCAAGTTTTCATCCACTGTTAAGCTGTAAAACTGGAAGCTTCACCCGAAGCTCCCTTCTGAATCTCCACGGCATATTCTCATCAACTGTCACATATCAAATCTTACAAATAGCACAAAGAACAACACAGCTGCATAACAAGACCTGGCACCATTTTCCCATGGGTCCACCTGTGTTGATAGTCTGTGGACAGGTGTTATAACTGTGACTTTTATGGTCACATATGCTCTTTATTTGTTCCACATATCCAAGTATATGGCACATGAAATTAATCACTGCTACTAACACTTAAGGTAACTCATTGCACAATCATTACACTAACTTTAAGACACACTAATTTACTATAACACATAAAGATATTAATATCACTGTTTCCATTTGGTAGTTAAGGAAAAACATACCAAAGTTGCTCAACCTGACTAAAGACAATTTAGGCAAATAAAATATCCAATAGCTTAAACCTAGATCAGCTTGCTACATTCATGCAAAATACCATCTGTGTGGCTGGGAGTACAGCTCAGTGGTAAAGCTCTTGCCTAGCTTACAGGAAACCCTGGGTTGAATCTAAAGTCCATTATGTACCTCACCCCAAAATACCTAAGAATCTTGTATACAGAAGACTTTTGGGGGGCTGGGGAGATAGCTCAGGGGTCTAAGCACCTGCCTGGCAAGTGCAAGGACCTAGGTTTGATCCCCAGTATCACATGCTGTGCCAGCCCTGGAGCCTCAGGAGCAATGTGCTGGTCACTGAGACCAGTGTGGTGGCACACCTCTGTAATCCCAGTGCTGGGGAGGCTAAGACAGGAGGATACTGTGAGTCTGAGCTGTACAGGAAGACCCTGTACCAAATAGATAACTAATAAATAAACAAACGATTAAACAAATAAAATGAAAAAAAAAAAAAAAAAGAATTTGTTTGCTTTGGTTAAAAAAAGAAAATATATCTGCCTATTCCCATGAAGTTCAACAGTAAGTAACACAGAAATTTTATATTTACACCAAAATGACACCTATTTATTTAAAAAACTATAAAAAGCATTTTTTAGGTAAGAACAAAAATTCTAAAATATGTACAGCAGGTACACAACTGCCTCACAACTGCTGCTGTGAGAAAGGTTCACCTCATCCCCATCATTCAAATGACAAAAATGTACCTCAAGTTACT